TCTAAGTATCTTACTCTTTAGTAAAAAATATTAAGTAATACTTAAATATAACTTACTTAATAAATTTTTTTAAAGTCTTTAGTTTTTTATTATGTATAAATTTATTTTTAACTATGTTATTTAGTCTATTATAGAATATTCTACTTATAGCTTTTTAGTCTATCTATCTGCAGATAGCTAGTTGTTTGCAGAAGTAAGCTATGTAGTGTTAAATTATTCTTTTTTTTATTATAAAAAGTTTATTTTATTAACTACTATTTCTTTTTAATTTACTAGTTTATAAATAGTAGTTAACGTACCTAACAGGTTAGCTGGCCACACGGGTTAGCCAGCCACTTTTGCTAAGCCTCTACTAAAACCACTCTATTCTCTTACAAAACAGGCTACTTTAGCCCTATATAAAGTAATATAACATAAGATATTATTTAAAGTCTACTTTTACTACTTACTTATATATATGTAAGTTATGCCTAGTCTAATTACACTGTCTATATTACCTTTAACTTAGCTTACCTTCTTTAGCGCGCACCTGTGTCTTTAGCTTTTTCTTATTACTACGCACTTTAAACTCCTTTAAAGTAGTTAGATAAGCTTTATTCTTAACTATTAAAGTTTTTTTTGCCTAAATTTACTTTCTTTTATGTAATTTATATTATGTAGTAGCCTTATTTACTGCTTAAAGCTCTATAATCTTATAGCCTACCTTGTTATATTAATGCTCTAGATAACTATTATCTACTCTTTATTACTTTACTATATTACCTTTAGCTATTTTTATCTCTTTAAAGCTATAATAACTACTCTAGTTAATATCTAGCTTATTATAAAGCCTAACTTGTTAAAGTTATACCTGTCTTTATTTTAAATACTATACTTAGCTTTTATATTAGCTACTAGGCAAAACTAGCCTTAGATAACTTCTAGATCTTTATAAAGCACTTTTTTATAATTATACTTAACGTACCTAACAGGTTGGCCGGCCACACAGGTTGGCCGGCCACTTTTGCCAAGCCTCTACTAAACTCTACTTATCTACATAATGCCTTAACAACAACACTAGATTAAATCTTTTAAAGAACGTTAGATACAGCTTGCTCTTTAGGCTTTTAAATAAAACTTAAAACTCTCCTTATAACACACTACAGCTATCTATAATGTCTCTTACACAACACTAAGCAATTAACGCGCTAGACAGCCTTTACAAGTAGAATGCTAGCCTAAATTAAAGAATCTAACTAAGCTTAAAAAAAAAGTAGTTGTTAAGTATATACTTAAGCTTATTACACACAGATTTCCTCTTAGGCTTGCAGCTGTAGCTAATATAGCTAATTCCTTGCCTACAGAGCATAATCTAGGCTAGGTTAGCTTAAACTAGACTAGTATGTAGGTTAAGCACTGCTCTAAGTTTATAATAAAGTTTAATTATAAGTATAATTATAAAAGAGCGCTTTATAAGAATCTAAAGGTTATCTAGGGCTAGTTTTACCTAGTAGCTAACATAAAAGCTAAGTACAGTATCTAGAATAAAAATAAGTATAACTTTAATAAGTTAGGCTTTATAATAAGCTAGATATTAACTAGAGTAGTTATTACAGCTTTAAAGAAATAAAAACAGCTAAAGGCAATATAGTAAAGTAATAAAAAGTAGATAATAGTTATCTAGGGCATTAATATAATAAAGTAGGCTATAAAATTACAGAGCTTTAAGCAGTAAATAAAGCTGCTATGCAATATAAATTACATAAAAGAAAGTAAATTTAGGCAAAAAAAACCTTAATAGTTAAGAATAAAGCTTATCTAACTACTCTAAAAGAGTTTAAAGCGCATAGTAATAAGAAGAAGCTAAAGACACAAGTGCGCGCTAAAGAAGGTAAGCTAAGTTAAAGGTAATATAAGTAGTGTAATTAAACTAGGCATAACTTACGTACATGTAAGTAAGTAGTAGAAGTAGACTCTAAATAATATCTTATGTTGTATTACTTTATATAGGGCTAAAGTAGGCTGTTTTGCGAGAGAATAGAGTAGTTTTAGTAGGGGCTTGGCAAAAGTGGCTGGCCAACCTGTGTGGCCGGCCAACCTGTTAGGTACGTTATAATTAAACTTTATTATAAACTTAAAGCAGTGCTTAACCTACATACTAGGCTAGTTTAAGCTAACCTAGCCTAGATTACGCTCTGTAGGCAAGGAATTAGCTATATTAGCTACAGCTGCAAGCCTAAAGGGAAATCTATGTGTAATAAGCTTAAGTATGTACTTAACAACTACCTTTTTTTTAAGCTTAGTTAGATTCTTTAATTTAGGCTAGCATTTTACTTGTAAAGGCTGTCTAGCGCGTTAATTACTTAGTGTTGTGTAAAAGACATTATAGATAGCTGCAGCGCGTTATAAGAAGAGTTTTAAGTCTTATTTAAAAGCCTAAAGAGTAAGCTGTATCTAACGTTCTTTAGAAGATTTAATTTAGTGTTGTTGTTAAGGCATTATGTAGATAGGTAGAGTTTAGTAGAGGCTTAGCAAAAGTAGCCGGCTAACCTGTGTGGCCGGCTAACCTGTTAGGTACGTTAAGGCTTTTTTAAAAAGTTAATACTACTAAAGATTTTTTTATGTCTATTAAAAGAGTTTTTTATTAGACTTAAAATTTATTTAGCTATTTATGTAAGGTTAAAACTAAATAGTAAAAAAGCTTTTTAAGTAAAGTTTTATCTAAGAAATTTTTTTTAATTAGTTTAAAAAGCACCTTTATTATACTACATATAAAGGTAGCATTATATAAAAAAAGGTGTAAGGTCCTTTACACTTCTAGTAAAAGGCTTAAGAAGTGCTAGTTTTAGAGTTTTCTTAAAGTCTACCCTTAGTTTTTTTTAGGCTATATTTCTAAGATTTAATACTTTAAGTTAAAAGGCTTAGATCTAAGAATTTATTATTAGCTATTAATTTATTAATTATGCTAGCATTTGCTTTAGTTTACCTAATTTATCTTTTATATTATTTAGCTATTAATTTATTTCTTTTTTATTTAGAGTTAGAACTTAGCTTGTGCTAGTAAAAAAGGCGCTAGTTATTTTTAAGTTAGTTAAAGTATTATAAAAATTTATACTTTATTAAAAAGTAGTAATTAATATTATAATCTTTACTTTAAAGAAATGGTGTCTAAAGGACTTAAAGCCTAAAAGTGTAACGGCACAAGCAAGACAATGGGTCCGAATGCGGTGGGAATCCACTCAGAGGCATATGGGAGTGCGTGGGGACTTAGAACCTGGGAATTTCCATTAACACCTATAGGTCTTGTACAAAGGATATCAGAAAACTACCAAGCTAGCTACAGGGGCGAGGTGCGACTAAATACATGGAGGAATAGGGGTACAGCAGGGGCAGGGCAGAGTCGGGGCCAGGTCGAGTCAGGGTCGAGCCAGAGTCGAGCCAGGGTTGGAGCCGATACGGGGACCCTTCGGATAGGTTCCGGGCGACCCGAGATGGAACGATTCATGAGAATTGTTACAAAAAGAAAGTTAGGTGTTTAGAGAGAGAGAGAACTTAGGCGTAGACAGGTGTACAGTCTGTTAGGGCGTAGTTGCTAGAGCTAAGAGGTGCAGCTAACTATAGTTTACTCTTTAACAGCAGTATAAGGTGCTTAGGTTAAACAGTTCTAGGGTAGGAATAAGATAAGAGGTATATATAGTGTAAAATATACTATTAGTATTACTTTTTATTAAAAAGTAGTAATGCTACTTAGTCTATATAATAATAAACTAAACTTTAATTATAACTTTTAAAGGTAGTTAGGATCTTAAACTATATACATAAGTTTGCGCGCTTTACGCGTTGTGCGTGTAACGATTCTCGTTCCATCTCGGGTCGCCCGGAACCCATCCGAAGGGTCCCCGTATCAGCTCCGACCCTGGCTCGACCCTGACTCGACCTGGCCCCGACTCTGCCCTGCCCCCTGCTGTTACCCCTATTCCCTCATGTATTTAGTCGCACCTCGCCCCGTAGCTAGCTCGGTAGTTTTCTGATATCCTACGTACAAGGCCTATAGGTGTCATTGGTATTCCCAGGTCTCTGAGTCCCCACGCACTCCCATATGCCTCTGAGTGGATTCATACCGCATTCGGACCCATTGTCTTGCCTGCGCCGTTACAGTGCGCGCTTGTTAGGTTGCTGTTCTAACAGCGCGCATAGCATGCAAACATCTCCTGCTTATTAGATAATGCATTCAACTGTGCATCAGTCTAATAGTTCTGTCTATTCCTTGTCCGTCAGGTCACGTGACTTGTCGGGCGGGAAAACAGAGAGACTCCATCCTTGTTCGTTCAAACAGTGGGGCATTGGAGGTTGATAGCTTACGGCCCAATCGTGGGTTGTAACAGTAGTTTTCTAGTATCCTTTATACAAGGCCTATAGGTGTTAATAGAAATTCCTAGGTTCTAAGTCCCCACGCACTCCCATATGCCTCTGAGTGGATTCCCACCGCATTCGGACCCATTGTCTTGCCTGTGCTGTTACATTAGTGTAGGAAGGGTAGTTTAGTATGGTATTGTAAGGCCAGGATGGCGCTTACGTGTAAGGCCGAGATGGTGCTTACGTGCGACGGGTATATATACTATTCTGTACGCAATAATTAACTGTTGGTTGATTATTCGCACCTTTTTGGTTGTATTGGCGTAGTGGTACAGAGCTCCGTCCTTACAGGTATTAGCAAAAGTAAGCAACTCAGGTGTGTGAGTAACTCGCCTGTGGGGTATGTTAAACTAAATTTCTTTAGATACTTTAAGTAGATTAGCTCTTAGCAGCCTCTAATTAGCTCTAGAGTTTCTAGAAGTTTGTGCTTGCTTTCTATTAGCTTAGAAGTTTTTAGAAGATGCTTTAACCACAAGCTATCACGCTAAGCCTAATCAGAGCTCCGCCACAAGGTCAATATGCCTAGCGCGTCGGATTGATTAGATAAGACCCCACACCCATTTCCAGCAACGCACAAGCGAGTAGAGTTGACTTTTGGGCTTTGCAAAAAGTCCGAGCAATAGCAATAGCATACCGAGCAATATCATCACATCTCCCCTCTCCAATCCCGCTGGCATGTACGAAGACTCGTGGTACAATGCCTTCGTCCCGCGGGCCCACAAGCCCGTCGAGAAGCCCAAACACCGTCGCCGCGAGTCTCTGCTCAAGCAGCCCAACGTAAGCCACTCGTCCGCTCCATGGGCATGTCCGCATTTATTGATCGTGTGTCCTGCAGGAGAGCCAGGCTGACGTCGAGCGCGTAGAAGGCACCGTCGAGACTATAGAAGAGATCGCGGAGAATGACAATGCCCCCCCGCAGGCCACCGTGGCTAGACGGGCGAAGTCCTACAGCGACTTTTACGATGTCGTGAGGGCGCATATAAAGAAGGAGAGGGGCCTGGGGAGGAAGAAGTCACAGGAGAGTATCAGCAACGAGCTGCAATTTGCCGAGTGGTATAGCGGCATCCGCGATGAGCTGCTCGAAGCCAGCCATGCGGAATACATGCACGAACTGGACCAGCTCCACCTGACGCGAACACACCTCGATACCATAATATCAGACACTTCCGAAACCCTCGACATCCTCTCCTCTCTCTCCGAGTCCTTCAAGGCAGTTGAGACGCAGACCACCGCGTTTCAGATACAGTGCGAGGGCTTAATTGAAGACCAGAAGTGCATCACGAAGCTTGCAGACGACATAGAGGAGAATCTCCGTTACTACCTCTATCTAGAACCCATCACCAAGAGACTCAATGCGCCCGGGGCTGGCAACCACGTCCGAGGGGAGCAATTTACGGAGATGCTATCGAATCTGGACGGCTGTCTAGAGTATATGCAGGCGCACCCAAACCACCGCGAGTCAAGTACATATCGTTCACGATACCGGCTCCTCCTCACCCGCGCTCTCACCCTCATCCGAGTCCACTTCACGAACGCCCTGCGAGAAATAGCTGCCGATGTCTCCAAGCGAATATCGGATCGTCAGTTGAACGACACTACTATGTCTGCGCTCCTGTACGCTAAGTTTCGCGTCGGTGCCCCAGAGCTCAAGCGAATCGGCCTCGAGATACAAAAACGTGCGGTGCTGCCGGCAAACGCAGAGCCCGGCGCCGAAGCCGAGTATCAGAGCTTGATGAACGAGCTGTATCAGAGCTACTCCGCTACCCGCGGTCGCCTTATCTTGCCCATAGTTACCAAAAAGATAGGAGAGATTGCACAGGCGCCGAGCTCTGCTAAGGATCTTGTTGCCTTTGCTCGAAGTAGTATTAGCTATATTCGTGGCATATGTTTTGACGAGTACGATCTCTGGGGCGAGTGGTTCGAGGGCGAGGGAGGCCTGTATGATTTCCTAGAATCTATGTGTGAACCCCTTTACGATCATCTGCGGCCAAGGACCATTCACGAGACTCAGATCCTCAAACTATGCGAGTTATGTACCTTGATCCAAACTCGGTACATGGAAGAGGAGGAAGAGGACGCATCTCCGATCGAAACAAATAAACTCGACTTCACCGTTCTCGTTCACCCGGCCCTCGAGGATGCCCAGACCCGTCTCGTGTTTCTCTCCTTGGCTATCCTCCACGACAACATTGAGCGCTATAAGCCGAAGCCAGAAGACCTAGACTACCCAGCCAAGAATAAGAAACAGCCATCATCTGCTTCCAAGTCTAGCCAACCAGCACTATCGGGGAAGAAGACCTCCAATGCAACCGTACCACAGACGCCAGTAATGCCAAAAACACCCATGGTAGTCGAAGAAGATGATCCCGACTCGCGTTGGAATTTCAACACCGAGGCTGCGTTCAAAGACTGGTATCCAACTCTACGTAAGGCGATCTGGCTTCTCAGTAAGATCTACCGGCTCGTACACGTGAGTAGCTTCTTCCACACACACGCGCACACCACACATACTCCCCTTCCATTTACAAAATATTAACTCTTCTCCAGTCTTCAGTCTTCGACGACCTCGCCCACCGAATCGTCCACAGCACCACGACCTCCCTCATAACTGCCTCAACCCAGCTCTCCAAATCCGCGTCCCCAACAGACGCCTCCCTCTTTCTAATCTCACACCTCCTCCTCCTCAAACAACAAATTGTCGCATTCGACATCGAATTCGTCACACCGGAAACCGACCTCCAGTACGATTTCACCAGCATCACAAACACATTCTGGGAACTGCGCAGCCGGGGTGGGCTCTTCAACCCCCGCAACCTTGTCGGTCTTCTCATACCCAAAGTCGTCGAGAACATGCTCGATGCCAAGGCGGAAGTGGATGCGCGGCTGCGCGGTGCTATTACGGATTTCACTACGCAGTTTGTTAGCAGGATGGTAGCCGCAATCTCTACACCCCCAGACAAAGACATCAAGGGCGGGCCGAAAATGGCGCCTGGAGAACCCGCGGCACGGATAGGCAAGGTTAGGAAGGCGGTGGAAACAGAAACACCCTTCCTCCGAGCCAAACTCGAAGAATACATAGACGACCCACGCACGCGGGAAATGCTCGTTGCAGCAGTGATGGAGGCTATTGTGTCGGCGTACCAGGATTGGTTCGATACGGTATACACGCCGTCGATGGCAGTGAATGGGACGGGTAGGAGTGCAAAGGGGAAGGGGAGGGAAGATGACGTTTGGGATCCGGATATTTTCTCGGAGTGGTGTGCAGGGGTTTTCAACGTGGGGAGGCTAGGGCTTGGGATTATGGAGGAGCCTGATATGGAGATGGGTGATGAGAGTGATGCGGATAGTGTGGGGGGTGTGAGCGGGAGGAGTGGGACAACAAGGACGGGGACGACGGGAATTAGGATTAAGATGTGATGGGGAAAGGGAATGCAGTGCGACTGGAGAGGGTTTGATGATAATAGGTGGGGGAGGTCAAAATATCAAACGAAATGCTAAGGTATGTGTTATCAAAAGACACGTCCAAAACTGGTATAAATAGATGAGTGGGCCATTTGATCGCTCGCTGGTTAAGCAGCAAATCGACTATCTCATATTGACGATGATAAAATTTCAGAGTTGATCATACACATAACAGGTGCCCCACCCACAACGCCCAGTTTCTAAGCATGATGAATGCGACCAGGAGTATCAGTCTAGTTTTCTTTAGCTTAAATCAACTCCCCAAAATGTTGAATATGCCAGCCAGCCAGCCAGACAGGCCTTTGTTGAACGACGCCACCCCAGCCTCTCCGTAGAATTCTTAAACCCGAACGCCGTGAATACACGAGCCGTGTTGAACCCCAGCCACACTGAACAAAAAAGTACGAACTAGAAGCCAAAGACAAAACATGGAGGGGAAGGATTTTAGACCGGCAGAGGGAAGGTGCTAGCCCAAGCCGCAATCTCCTTCTTCAAGCTATTAATCTCGTCGACTCCGCCCGATGCGACCTTGGCTTTGAAGTCTTTCAGCTTGTTCGCTTCCTTTGGCAGCTCGCCCTGGATCTTCTTGCACAGTTTGATGCACGTGTCGATATATCCGGCGATCTTCTTGAAATCTTCCTCGCCCAGACCACGAGATGTCATGGCTGGCGCGCCGATCCGAATGCCCATAGGTGTCAACGCGGACTTGTCGCCGGGAGTCGTGTTCTTGTTGCAAGCGATATTAACTTGTTCAAGCACAGCTTCGACACGTGCGCCGTCGAGAGCGAGGGGCTTCAGGTCCATGAGGACCATGTGGTTGTCTGTGCCGTCGGTTACGAGCTTGTAGCCCAATTGTTTGAAGACGACTTCAAGGGTCTTTGCGTTCTTGATGACTTGCTCTTGATATGCTTTGAAGTCCGACGTCTGAGCCTGCTTGAGAGCAACGGCGAGCGCGGTGATGGTGTGGTTGTGGGGCCCGCCCTGGTGGCCAGGGAAGACGGAGAAATTGATAGGGCCTTCGAGGTCGTAGAGCGTCTCTTTTCCGGTTTTAGGGTCGGTCTTGCGTACTCCTTTGCGAAAGAAGATCATGGCGCCACGGGGTCCACGCAGTGATTTGTGAGTTGTCGTGGTTACGAGGTCGCAATATGGGAAGGGAGACTTGTTCACGCCGGCGGCGATGAGGCCGGAAATGTGCGCCATGTCCATCATCAGATAGCAGCCGACCTTGTCCGCGATCTCGCGCATGCGGGCGTAGTCGATCTCGCGACAGTAGGCGGAGGTTCCGGCGACGAGGACTTTCGGGCGGTACATGAGGGCATTTTGCTCGAGTTGGTCATAATCGATGAGCCCGGTGTCGAGGCTGACTCGGTAAGGAAAGGTCTCAAAGTAGGTAGAGACGGCTGAGATCCTGCACTTTTTAGCTTTCTACGGCCTTGCTGTTGCACACTCGGTAAGCTGACTTCTTCTGTGGTGTCTGATACCCGTGGCTTAAATGTCCACCATGCGGCAGATCCAAGCCCATTAACCTCTCATGTGGCCTCATAATGGCCTGGTATGTCTGGAGATTCGCTGGGCTACCGCTCAAGCACTGTACATTGACGCCCCACTTCTCAGGGTCAAGTCCGAAGGTCTGGAGTGCTCGCTTCTGACACAACAACTCCACAGCGTCAATGTTCTCGTTTCCGCCGTAGTATCGGGCACCGGGATATCCTTCTGAGTACTTGTTCGACATGGGCGAACCAAGCGCGTCGAAGACAGCGCGGGAGGTGACATTTTCGGAAGCAATGAGGAGGATGGATTCGCGTTGGCGCTGGACTTCTCTCTCCTAAAGAACAATAAGACGGTGAAGGCTGGGGAGTTTAAGGAAACTTACCATGATCTGAGCAACTTCAGGGTCAGTCTCCACCAAAGACTTCTCCATAAGCTATAATGAGTCAATATCTAGGGCTTTTTTCTTTGTGCTGCGGGGAACTGACGTCCTGGTGAGACTTGGGGAGGGCGTAGGAAGACATGTTGAGTCAATTAGCCAGATTCTAGTCTTCTATGAAGGATGGAACTGAGAAAGAAGAGAGTAGTGGGTGGGAAGATGATTTATAGCGGCAAAAGTTGGACTGGAAGAACTATCGGCGCGTGGTCTTAGATACTTTTTTCGTCCCGCACCTTTCAGTCCCGCACTAACCGTAAGCGGAATGGTCAGCCGTTGTTCTGGCCGTCATCGGACTACTTCGGGGGTCGGGCTCGGGCTCTCTCAGAACCAACTCACCGCCGGACTTCATTATTCATCAGTTCATGTGTCGCATCCTTCGTTACTCGGGGTGCAAATTGATGTGAGAGAGACACGCTTATCTTCTCATTACTTCCACCTTCCTCTACAGGACACAGTGCACGGTCTGTAAGCCGAACGTCACGCCTACAACTTCACCTTTTCACAAAAGCCTTTTTCCTGTCACCTAACATAGAACATGACAGGGTATTTAGGGACAGATATTCGCACCCTTCTAATGCTCTCTCCTTTCTTCAAGCAGGAGATTTACAGGTAGACTTTGCCCTCGTCACGCTCCACATAATGTGGTAACATCCTGTATTGAAAATGGCTTACTATTCTTCTTATCCAGTCCATTATATTCTTCATGCAATCCATTACTATCTTCAGCTAATATCAGATCATTCCATCAGTCTACCATAAAAGAAACCTAACAGCAGTTCATCTTTCCAGTTTGATAGATTGCCGAACGCGGCTCCCTGGCGGCTCCTAACCCTTTTCTTCTTCGGAAAAGTCGTCTTCACTGTCCTTGTCCTCGTATTGCTCATCCTTCTACCTATTCCAGCCGTTAGAGCTAAAGAAGCACGGCATTTACTTACTAGATCGGAATCTATATCACCACCCTTCCGCATTGCACTATCACCATCCTACAATCGTCAGTCTATGCTTCTAACAAACAAGGGGGAATTATTTCTGGAGATCGGCATTGAGTTTCCCCGTGATCTCCTTTGTCTTTCTTCTCCTTCGATTTTCTGAGCTGCGAGTTCTTCAAGCACTCTGGACATGAACGCCTCCTCAGAATCTGCAAACTTCGGTAAGACTTCTAGACTCTCATCTTCAGTGTATCTACTAGGCATTCTGGACTCCCTCTTGGGCTTATTAGGTATTTGCAAGATCTTAGATTGCTTCTGCAAGAGCTTCTCGATCATATATCGCTTCTCGCTCAGAATCAGAGGCAATGGCCGCGAGGTTCTTGAATGACTCGCGACACTGCTGCATCATGTCATCAGTTCGGACAGGGCAGCGGTGTTCCTCGTTTGTAGGGCCAGCCCTGGAGGTCTTCCGACCTGACACATCCATCTCCTTCTATGTAAGCATTGTTGAGAAGTATATACGTAGCCACATTAGTCGGTAAAGTTAGGATGAGAAGAGGGATGACGCAGGAAATGAAGGAAACAGTATGTACACTGACATCGAAGGATCTCTAACAATTAGGACAATTGTTAGGAGTTGAGACAACCCCGCTCCACGATCGTCAACCACGTTGCTAGCAATGAAGCGAACTAGGAACTTTGAAGTTGTCCACAGTAAATTGATATCACACCGTACGAAGCAAAGAATTGAGTGAGTTCAATATGTATATGTCAGTCTATCTGTCTAAGCAAACTATTTACAAGACAGTGTAGAATCGAAACTAATCTATAGTGGAATAACCTGCCGAGTGTTGCGATATTCTGGCAGTTGCCGGGTGAGCAATCTATGTCAAACGACTTCGGCACCTCGCCTGGCCCATCTAAGTAGATGGAAACTGGTCCTTCTCAGCAGCCGCACGACCTTCTCCATCATCACCCGAGATGTCCAACGAAATGACTACAACCTCAGCAGCCTCGCCCTAGCTCTTAGCTTTCCCTTTTCCCTTGTCCTTGCTGTAACCTTCGCCTTCTTCGGTATCGATTCTGTCCCTTTCTTGGGATCGGCTACCTTCCTCTTGATACCAGCTCCTCTGCTTTGAAAACGTTCGACTTCGCCTCGAATTGCCTTGATAGCCTTTTCAACCTTGCCCCGGCTGCTAGGATTGCGACCGGTTCTGCGGTTAGTGGTGACACGGACTAAATCGAGGATTTCGCTGGCCATTTCTCTAAAATCACCAACGGTCATGCCCTCAGTATCGACATCTTCATCACTATCGGATTCATTTTCTGGGTCGACTTCTGCTGCCTTTCCCTTTGCAGCGCTTGCCCTGAGGGCAGGCTTTGGCTTCAGAGTAGCTTTTGGCTTCTTAAGTGACTTCTTGAATAACGCTTCGGCTGGCTTCTTCTCAACCTTCTCGTTCCTTGACTTTGCGACCGGATGACCGACACCCCACCTCTAGACCTTGTTTACAGTGGTATTGCTGTAATTGGGAGGTCCCGTGGTCTTGCGTTTCGAGCCGATATCAATTCCGAGGAAAGTACGTCTACCTCTATTCCTCTCTATCGTCGTTGCTGTTGGTCGGCTAGGTCCTCCTAAATCAGCACCTTCCGCTTCGCCCCCACTATCTCCTCCCACCATAGCCTCAGGTTCACGGGCGTCGCCGTCTCCACCAGGAGCTTCTCTACCGTCGATGATTTCCGCCAGACCCACAACATCTGCTTCTTCGGGAAGTTTACTAGCAGGTGAAGACTCTTCTCCGACATGAAGCCCACCTAGTACGTCTTCGATCTCGTCTCCCGTAGCTTTTGCCTTTTATTTTCCTCTAGCTGCTGACATGCCTTCAAGTATGAGTTTGGGTTTAAATAAGAAAAGTAGCGGTTTAGAGTCAATTACCTTGAACAACGTACGCTCTTTTACCCACAATGTTGTCGGTTAAGCCTTACGGACTGTTTTTGGCTTCGCACATTCTCTCTAGACCTCAGACGGGGTTTAATATCTATCTAATAAAGAGAATCTACCTAGAGGATGTCTGGAGTAGCCTATGCATTTCTCGGGTTCGCACTGATGTACTCTAACCTGGAAGAAATGAAGATGATAGTTCATGTCACGGAATCTCCGGAAATCCGAGCTAATTGTAGTAAAACCACTCAGTTTTCTCGCGAAAATTCTCGCGAACATTCTCGCGTTCATCCTAACACGCCTTATTCTCGCCAGGTTGTCATCATTCACCTCATCTCGAATACCGACAACATTTCTTCGCCTCTCCTCAGTTAATCTTCTCCCCTGCTCTCCCCCTAACGCCTTCCTCTGCACATTTGATCCAGTAATTTGAGATCTCTCCGATTTGACCTAGAATGTATGTCAGCTTTTCCTGACGATAGATACCTCTTCCAGAGATGGTGATATCATCACACTCCCATCCATCTTGAAATCCCTCCGTGCACAATAAATCCACATACAGTGTCCATTCGACACTCTTAACTTCCCTCTAATTCAACCTACCGATTACCAAGCAGAACCCTCAAAGGCGTCCTCTCCGTTTTAAATACCCCCAGCGATACAGGCACGGATTGTGAGCTTTTGGCGGGTGCTCTACGCCGCACTTGGGTTGCAGTTTTATTCCAGGAAACGATAGTCGTGATCGTATTTCTCGTGATGTTTTAGAGCGAATAAGGAGACGCGAGATTCCCCCCTTGCTTTGCCAGTTTCTTCTGGCAATCTGCAGTCATGAGGCGAGGTGGTGTAGTTTTAATTCCTGCATCTTATGGGCCTAAATCGCCGTAGTATTAGTCTAAGTGAAGGGCTGGTCAAACACACATTCAAGGCGATGCTGGAGTTTTTTCATTCTCTTATTGTCACCCACATAATAGGCTTGCAATAAAAAATTAGTCCTAGGGAGGGAACCATAACCTGCCTGGCTGGCATATTTATTCTGGTGCAGTCGATCATGATACGAAAATCGCTTATGTTAGTCCTAGAGGCAGAGAAGGAAGCCGTTGGCCCTTGGTGCTGTAATTTTATTCCTAAGGGGAGAGGCAGCACTATTGCTCTTTTTAATCTTCTTTCCCAAGGTGGAAGTTGGGGAGTAAAGAAAATGCCCAGATCAACGGGGACCAAGGTCTTCATATATCCTAGCCGAAGGGCGAAAGCAGTGGTGAATCACGTAAGGTGTCTCTTCGACTCTTAGTAACGGCCTCTACGTGCTAGATGGTGTGAAGCTATGTGAAGCACTAGAGGCATGAGGAACTGGATTGAATTGATTGCTAGAGGAGTCTTTTGTAGGAGTCTATATATATGCGAAATAAGTGGGTGAGTCTTGGCAACATAGACTATGGTGAGATACATACGACTATGGTGACGACGCATCCGACTATGGTGACGACGCATTCGACTATCGTGTGATTACGGCAAACAGATGGCTGCTATAGATAGGGTGGTGTCACTGGTTGAGCTTGATTCACAGAGAGGGGGGTTAGGTATATCAGCCCTCTTTTTGGGGACTTGAAGACTTGACTGTTTTTGTTTCACACTTTGATAGGAGTGTCAAAATCTCGTGAAATCTAGGTGATGTGGAGAAGTCTGGCTCCATATCTAAATTGTCTATAGGAATGGTGCATGGAAGAAACTGGTGCGAAAATGGGGCTTATACGCAGGGTCGAGCAGTGTCAGCAAGTGTCTGTGGAGAGACGTCAAAAAGAACGAAGGACCACTATCATGTCCTCTGGGTTCCGGGGAACGGTAGTAATGGTGACCACCGATACGCTGATAATTAAGCAGAGTGCGAGGCTTCACACCGGAAGTGTTAGTAGGTCATGTTGCGAGATGTGGTATTTTAACCCCGACCCTCCTTACGCCTCGACTCCTCACTGCGATCTTACACTCTTCAACCAGAGCCTCTAAAAGCTTTGTGGAAGTCTTTCCAGAGAGAACCCACCAGGCGGAACCAAAATATTGACCTGCTGTAAGAATGGCATCAAATTCCTCCAACTCAATCCACATGACCATTCCCCATCATGGGGGGAAAAAAGTAGGAGGGTCTCCATGAAACATGACTAGTAAGACTTACCAACACTATCATGCTCTCGCCACTTTTGGAACTGTGTAGCCACCAGAAGTCACCGCAATACTCGCTGACTGAGGATCCGCGCGGTAAATGAACTCCTTACTGGCCCCGTCTCTGCCTCACTGCTGGCTTCATTAAAATCCGTTATAGCGATTGAAGTCCAGCTATAGAACTGAATGTGGGATTGCCCTGGCGGATTAAAACGAGCAGGCCAGGGGTCGATAGTGAAACCACTCGGGGTCAACTGGCGTGGTGCTGCCTGAAAGAAGAGCGTGTCCAGAAAACATGTCAGTGCGGTCCCATGCGCATCTCTCCTGGACTGGCCTGGGAGGATGCGGGATCGGGGAACTCGGAGATCGGGGAAGATTGTCTGCCAGGAAGCGTACTCAAAGAAAGGGGGTGGTGAGCATATTTCGTGAAACACGCCGGTAAACATCATTGGAAAGACCTGGGTATCATAGGCGCGCCTTACCGTCTTCTCGCGGGAAGGCTTGAGGCATGAGAGAACCGTCCCAAATTCACTACCTAACCCCAACGAAATTCCCAGCGCGGGACTCCCCACTCCACCCGTAGTTCCACGCTGCTTGGAATTACTTCATCTCCGACCCCTCAGCCGACCCACCCAGTCCCCGGCTATTTGGTCTAGACTACATTCCCTATGAAGTCTGCCACAGATATCCGCCACTCCCTTACGGTGGCTGATCGCCCACTTGACTTCCCGCCCTGATCCGATCATCGGAGTCCGCCTCTTCTTCATCAATAGCGGTTTTCAACTGCCTCAGATACGTTCCAAATTCGCCGAAGTTGCTGAAATTCAACCCTCGAGTGCTTATTGAGAGATCCTTAGCGACGGAGAAGATATTATCATACCGTTTCTTGACTTTCAGGTATGTCTTGCGGACATTGTCTGTACGAGTCTGGTCCTCGGAGGAGGCCCGTGACAGAACTGGCGAGTCTAGGCGGGCGGGTGTACTTGGGTTGGGATTTTTCGTGACAGCATGTTCGGACTTTAAGCTTTCAAGTTCCTTGGTAAGGTCGGCTTGGACAGACTGGAGAGATTTGGACTCGCCGTTATTGGCAGAGGAGCTTTCATTTTCCTCTTTGAGCTGGTTGATTGTTCTCTTGAGATTCTCTGCGGTGGCGGAGTGTGCAGCTTGCTCTTCCTCGAGTCCAAGCCTGATGGCTGTGTTCTCATCTTGCAGACATGAGATCTGGTTCTGAAGCTCTGAAATCTCCTTGTCGTTCCAGCGACGAACTTCTAGACCCGAAGTCTTCTCGCGCTCAACATTAAGCTCCTCCTGGAGCTGGTCCCGAGCGCTCTCCGCCATTGCCAACCTCTCACTCCTCTGCTTCTCAGCGTCGAGGCTTCGGTTGGCCTCATCCCGTTGCATCTGGACGGCTCGGAGCTCCGTAACTAGGCGATCAATCCCACTCATCTGCTCGCGTTCTTCGATGATCTTGCTTTCAAGCTGTTTCTCTAGGTTCTTGACCTTTTGCGTTTCTGTGGTCTTCTCCTGACGTAACTTGAGAATGTCATTATCGTGCATTCTTTTGAGACGCCCAATCTCTGCTTGGAGGGCCGTAACTCTGATGGTTTGATTGTCGAGTTTGGACTGGCATTGATTGAGCTCGATCTCAGGACCTGTTTTTTGCTTCTCCTGGACACCAGTGCTTGGCCCACCGGCAGCGAAATCCCACGATGGTGCTAAATTTGAAGCAAGTGGGGGCGGAGAACGAACCAGTTCTTCAGTTTTGAGTTCAGGAATAGATGCCGTCCGTGTACGAGTACGGTGACCGTGGATAAAGGGCAGGTCATTATCAGAGTCGGAGAGAGTCAAATCAACGGGGTCTTCAACAGTTCCCTTTTCAGCACCTCTGACTTCTCTATTCACACTTGCCTCCTTTTGTTTCCCATCACGCATATTTGTGGACACGTCCTTGTTCCGAGTCTTCTGGACTTTCTCTGCGCGGCCTCTTCTCTGACTTTGTTGCGGAGCAGAGCGCTTTCTGGGCTTCTTATCGCTGGGAGTCTTCTTTCCCTTAACAGCTGGTTTCTTTCCCGCGAGTCGTGGTGGATTCCTACGCGCCGGTGCCGCATTCTCCTTTCCCAACTTACGGTTCCTCTGAGCAAGGTGGCCTAACATTCTATACGTGTCCTGTGATTGGTGAGAATCGTGATATGTTAGGGATGGTAGAACTCGGTATTGAATCGTCACTACTATTCTCTTCTCGCACTCTCTGCTCAGTAACGTTTCCGAACAACAAGACTACAAACTTCTTTAAAGGTAGCCTGTGCTATGAGGGAGAGAGTGCAACCCCGCGGACGTGCTGTGAAGGAGGGCGTCTGCGATGCTTTCTGGATGCTGTTGGACTATGAGTGCGGAAATCGGGAGCTCTTGACGGAGGGGTACTTTGGGACATTGTAAGTGAATGTTCAGATAAGTTGGGCAAAAGAAGCATTGGCAGGTGGGAGTAAGAAGGGTAGATTTTCCAGATGCCGAAGGGGAGAGGGGAGAGGAGTAGAGACTAACGTCCAAAAGAACGCGGCCTGATAAACTAGCGCACCTGCTGAGATGATAGCGGCCTGGCGATGATAAAGCACCGGAAAGATATTGTAGTGAGCGGGCAGCCAGTGAGTTTGCTCCCATTCGAGGATTCAGGTCCTAGGGAAGGAATAAGTTAGGATGGAATCCCACGATGAAGAAGTTCGAGCATGAAGCGGAAATAATGGTGTAGATCCTAGAAGAGCGTAAATGTGGATATCTGCCGCCGTTAGCTCGATGTGAGGTTGTATCTAGACCTCAAAGCGCCAGTCGAGTGGAATGTGAGAGAGTGGGGTAGGAATGACAGTGTGATGTGGTTGAGAGAGTAGTAGAGCGAGTGGTGTATGAAAGATAGTATAAAGTGGTGAGAGGGTAAATACATATAGAGAAAGAACCTGGAGATCTAACTCTAAGAGGGATCCCTAGTCTGGTGGCCTGAGGAGTCAAGAAGTGAGTTGCACGGACTGACACTTGCTCTTTTCCTTGGTCTCCACGTCTGCCATACCATAAAGCCACTTGCAGCACGGACCGGGTCATTACATCGCCCGGCTTCATACACAAAATATTGCATTCCATACACATTATATCCTCGTACCCAGTCCAACCCAAGTTAAGAGATATCCATACAAATTCCTCAATCCGCAAGTTTTCCCAGCTCGTTACACCAGCCCTAGAACCATAAACTACAGCAATTAAAAAAAAAATTCAAACAGTCCAGCCTATAGACCAAAACATGTCTCACAAAATACTGATGTAAAGTAAAGTAAACGCCAACGCACCTGCCTGAATTTCGCTAGTAAAACAGACGTACTAGTACACTTCCTCATCAGCGAAGCCTCGAACACTGCCTACTGCACTTCCGCGCCCACTTCCACGTCCAGAGCCATTTACACTGCTTTCGTCTCCCTTCCTCTCGCGCTCTCGCTCAAGCATTGCGCGCAAGTCTTGATTCTCTTCCGCCTTCTCTTCTAAGCGTTTTCTTGCCCCACTACGATCTAAAAGCCGTGCTTCTCGTTCAGCTTTCAGCCGTCGCTCGAGCTCCTTAAGCCTGTGAATCCATTTCTGTTCGCTGGGCTGTAAAGGCCCAGCTTGAGGATAAGGGTGGTCTGGCTGACTCTGTGTTCCTTCCACGGTGGAGCTCGAGTGGTGGCGAAGAAGTGTCTGCGCCATGCTAGCACGTTTAGTTGAACCTGGAGAACCAGTGCGGCCGTTCGTTTCAGTGACCATATTGGTGTTGGTAGTCGTAGTTGTGATCTGGCGAAGAGTCTGAAGCTCAGTCCGGAGACTCTTGTTTTCGTTGCGAAGCTTGTTGACCTCACCAGAGTTGAGGTCAACAAGGCCGCCACGGACGGTACTAGGACGGCCAATTGATTGTCTTTGCGCCATGATGATCTTCTCAAGTTGATCGAGGCGCTTGACACGGACGTCTAGGGTATGCTCGAGAGTCTGGTAATCTCGTAGCAAGTCCTTCTCCATGCCTCGAATCCGCTGGCGGAATCCGCCGATGATGCCTTCCACCATCTTAACAGCCAGAATGATGTTCTTGTTGAAGCCTTGCAGGTTCTTTGAGATGAGCTCCATGGACGGAAGTTCACCGTTAATGAGGGCATGGTTACGGGACCACTCGGCTCCACAGAGTGTTGACAGACGGTTCCAGAGGGCATACAACAGGTTGTTACGCTCCAGCAACTGCTCTTTATATTGACGTTCGAGACCCATGAGTTTCTGTCGATCCTGACTTCGAAGAGTCTCCAACTCTAAAACTCGAGTCTCATGCTGCTGAATGGTTCTCGTGACCGATTGGTGACCTCGCTTGGCGTTCTCGAAGGCTGCTTGGTCTTGGCGGCGCATTTGACGTTCGCGCTCGAGCATATCCGAGAGACGGCGGCACTCGTTTCCAGTGCTTTCCAATAGTGTATCCCGATCTCGGAGAAGCTTGTTCTTTTCTGCAAGATCGTTGTTCGTGTTTTCAAGCTCCTGTAATGTGACCTCAAGGTCTCGCTGCAGCTTGTTCACATCCTGAATAAAGGTGATAAGTATATGTCTTGTTGGATTAGAAATTGTGTTGGGTACCTTGAGTAGGCTGGACCTGGTGCCGTTAAGGTTACCAAGAGCTTCGCGGAGACTGCTCTCAAGGTCGTCAAGTCGCTGCTTCCAGTTGGATGCCTCGACTTCCTTTCCTGAGAGACTCTTCCGGAGCTTCCTATTGTCCTCTTTCAGCTTGCTCAGCTGTGCATTCAGGTCCGTAAGAACCTTCTCCACCTCTCGCTTCTCTTGAGTGTCTAAGATATCGCGCTGTCGCCTTTCTTCCGCCAGACGATCCTCAAGATCACAGAAGCGCTCCTTCTCGTCCTGTATCGTATTTTGGGCCGTGTTAAGGGCCGCTTCGAGCTCTCCAATCTTAATCTTGTCGCCTTCCTGCTCTTCTCGCAAGAAATCAACTTCGCCTTGGCAAGATTCGAGCTGGATTTCAAGCCGTTCGTTCTTCTCCTTCTCGTCAGCCAGCGATTTGTCCTGTCTCCCCAATTCCTGGTTCGCATCGGCAAGTTCTGACTCCAGCTTTTGTATCTTCCGTCCGCTCGCCTCCTGGTCGTCTTCGAGCCGTACCAGGCTCTCGCTGACGCTTTTCATCTCTTCTTGCAAAGCATTGAAGTCTTCATTCGTGTTGTCAAGCTCAGTAACGAGTTTATTGACCTCCTGTGTTTTCTGCTCTATCTCTTCCTCCAGCCTCTGTATTGTTTCGAGTGCATGCTGTCTAAGCTCATCACACTCTTGCTCCTTATCTTGAAATGCTTCCAAGGCTTCGTCTCGTTCGTTCTGGATTGCTTGAAGATCTTGAGTTTGAAGTTCGAATTCATGCTCGAGCTCCTTAACCTTAGCCTCAGTCTGTTCAAGGATATCGAGATGACCGTTGAGTTGATCATCAAGCTCTTTGTACTGTAGCTTGGTCTGAGAGAGCTCGTCACGGAGCGCAGCATATCTATTATCGTATTCTTCACGCTCCGGATCGCTCATTTGAGTTGCGCGAGTTCCTCCGCTAGCCCGCGACACAGAACGAAGGTGGTTGCGGGATATTGAGCGCTCGAAGATGCTATCACCAGCCACCGAACCGACGTCTCCCCTCCGCACAGTAAGCTTCAGATTCTCAATCTCTTGTTGCAGGCGTTCCCGCTCGCGATTTCGTGATGTGAGCATGGAAGTCTGAGCACCGAGATCTCGTCGAAGCTCTGAGTTCTCGGTCCGAAGCTGTTCTACGAGCGTACTACTGGTACCACCCATAGACGGGGATGCGGCTTGCTCGTTGACGTCAGAACCAGAATTCGATCGGGTCGTGTAGGACGTCAGGTTGCGGCGAGTAATATTGTAGACGTTTTTGACACTCTGGTTTGTCGTAGAGCGTTGTTGCGATTGCTGATTAAGGTCCTTGAGTCGCTGGACTTCTTCGCGAAGCTTTTCGGTATCGGCTTCTGCTTGTTCGCGTCGAGACCGCTCTTCCTCGAGCTCTTCTTTCCACATACCCATCGCTTCGTTGATGCCTGCAGACGGTTCTGACGTACTCCGTTCTCCCATTGACTTGATGTACTCGGCCATTCGCCTCTTCTCCACCTCCTTGTTGAGGTTTTCTTGTTGAAGTTGCTCAAGGAACGTTTCGGTAGATTCTAGTCGCTCTCTGAGAAATATGATCTCTTCTTCCATCTCAGCCTGCTTCGAAGACGGATCGCTTTCATCCTCAGAGCCACTTGCACTCTCCTTTGCCGCAGCTAATCCGTCTTCTTGGGATTTCAGCCTCCTCTCCAAATCTCGGACCTTTTTGCGCAGTGTCTGATTCTCCTTCTTTTCATTCGCTAGATCGGTCTGGAGCTGCACATTCTTCGAGATCATCTCCTTAACACCCTCATCCGATCGGTTCTGAAGCGCCTGGTCAAGAAAGTGAATCTTCAATTTTAGGTCGAAGTTCTCTTTGCTCAGCTTGTCGATCTTGCTGTTCTGCTCCTTGAGCGTGAGATTGTGCTTGTTCCGGGTGAATGGGGTCACTATGTGTCGCTTGTCGGGCGACCTAGAGTGCTTTTCGCGGTACTCTCGAGCGATGGTGTCAGGAACTCGAATATCTTGGACGTGCCTAGCGATGACAGTGTCAGTAGGGGCAACCGGCTTGACACTTGGAGCGCGTGGTGTAGCGGGGGGTGTTGTGGAGTTCACTTCCTCCTCAAGTCGCCCTAAATTACTGTCGGGATGAAGATGTCCAGATAATGAATTCGCGCTAAGGCTTCTGTTCTTGTCCCAAGAGGGGTTGGAGTCACTGTACCCTGAAACGGAAGATGCTATACTCCCTAGACTTGGCAGCCTGGACAGTCCAAAGCTAGACCTGTTGTGAGAGCCAGAGCCTGGCGCTGCACCCCCGCTTTGCAGGGCATAGTCCGCGCCCAAGGTTGCGTTGCTCCCAGTATCTCCAGAAAAATCGGAGCGATTCGTAAACGAGGACACCGAGGACCGTTGACTTGAGTGACGGTTTTGCAAAAAGCTCGGTCGCTTTCCAACTTTGGTGTTTGTTGTTGGGAAGGAGGGTACGGGAATTGTTATTGTTTCCATGCTCAGATCATGGTCATCCGTGAATGAGGAATTCTCTTCCAATGCGGTGAAATCGGGCGCTTTCACCGTTGATGCGCTCGAGGTCGGCCGTACTTCATCACCTGACTGTTCCTTCTGCCCTGCACCTGGGACTGCTTGGGCCTCAATTTTTTCGCCCTGGTGTATGTTATTCTCAACAGCATTAGCTCCTGAAGTTGTACGCGAATGGTTGCGCTGTGCAGCTTGTGCAGAAGGTGACGACGGCATAGGCTCCGAAGCCGGTGTTCCATCCCCTAGCGAATCCTCTTGGACGATCGTGTCGATGTCTAGCCGCCGCGCGGCCGGGGTCTTGTACGCATCTGCGGGGGTAGGCGGTTCATTTGACAATAGCGAAGATTCGGAGTTTTGAGTTTCTGCCGCCTCTTCTAGTATCAGCGAGGCCACCTTGTCTCCCGCTGTCGCGGTGGGTTGCCGTGAGTGCCCTGGCGAGCCTCCAAACAGATAAGTGTCGTCGGCGCCGGGGGGCACTTGTGGGGCTTCGACCTGGACAGGTGGCTCAGGAAGAAAACTGGATTCAATATCCATCAGTTGACGGTTCATCTCGTGGTCCATTAGCGCACTTCCATCGCCTTGCAATTGGGTATCTGCGAAGTTGTCGGCCTGGAGGAAACTGTCATCGTCATCGGTTGGCAAGGGCGGGAGCTCCGAGTCCGGCTGCTCAAAAGACAAGACATCTTCGGAGTGTGATATGTCTTGGGACATACTCGGGTCTTCAGCGGGGGGAGGTGCGACCTCGGGGGCTTGGGGTTGTTTTTGTTCTGCTTCGACAGTGGGGGTTGCGTCGTTTGAGGACGCCATGGTCGCGGGGGCGCGTGTAGTGTGCGGGGTGGTCGCGTGGATGGGTGCAGCCTTGAGACGAAAATACTACCATATTAGACCATGGTGTGTGGTGAGGGAAGGTGGAAAGATGGAGAGGTGAATGTCCATGTTTGGCAAGCAAAACACGCCAGGAGCCGTTGAACAGGGATATGCGCGACCGTGGTCCGTACCCTGCGAACGTCACCTGCATGAAACAACCGAGGCTGGTTGGATGCTTCACCGAACCCATTCACGAGAGCAACCAACTATTTAAGGGTGCCACTCAGTTCCGGTATGACCTCCTATTTGTCTTCACCGCAACATTATTTCCAAACCCTCGGCGTGAATGAAAATAATATGCAAATGCCATGTCCACGCAATCCTCACTCCAAAACACATTTTCTTAAACTTTATCGGCATCTTTTCCCCGAACGGGTGCTGGGCTTGCCAGACCCCTATTCCCTGCGTGCGTCAGAAGACGACAAAAGCAACTGATTTGTCTGTCCCGCAAGGATCCTTTAAGCTTAATCTACTTTGGTTAGTCTTAAATTCCTGTTTCCGTGCCTTCACTTTACCATGGCATGTCACAGAACATAGTTAGGATGGTTTTGATTTACTAACTCTCTTGCTACAATTGAGGATGCTCAGGGGATGCTCAGAGGATGCTCAGAGGATGCTCAGATGATGCCTATTTCTGTTCCAAACCGGGTCTTTGTTAGGTTCCGTTGTTCATACAGTACAAAAAGTATAAAACTTATACAAGTGGTCTCATCTCTTCATTTCAAATGCAAATATCCTTGGACATTCACCTGGTTTGGATCACGCGCCCTGAGCAAATCCAATCCTTCCCCTGCGTATCCGAAAATGCCATACGCGACTCGGGAAGGATGCCGAGCATGCAGCCTTCAGCATTTTCAGAATGCCCCCTCGAAGACGACCATTATCCCCCTACATCAAGCTGATGATCATCGCGTCTTCGGTCTCATGCCAATGAGGTGCAGCATTTCGCTACCCCTTCATCCACTCGTCCACTCATAGACACATGGAGTCGTCTACAGAATCACACTAGACACACACGTAATTACTCTTTGCCTCCAAGATCTCGCACGACTGGCAGGTCCAGTATTAAAAAACGGAGTTCATTACTTCATCTTCGCCGACCCTTTCTCCTTCTTTCGCTCCTTCTTTGCTTTCTTCTCTTCGCGCTTCTTGATCTCTTCTGGAGTCCTATGCTTTTTATGCTTCTTAGTCGCAGACTCAGTTCTCTCCGTCCCATTCACTTCATCGTACTTCCGCTTCTCGCGCTTTTGGGAGGGGTGGATTCCATTTGGGATGCCCAGCCCAGCCGTTACAGGCACATCGTCCTCGCTCTCCGAAGAGCCGATAATTCCAGGATCTTGAAGGCCGAACCCAGATGGGAAGTAGCGCATCCGCAAGCCCTTGACTTGTGGCCGTGGAGCTCTTACGGTGCTGGTGGTTATGGATGCTGCAGCGGCTGATGTAGTATTTGTATCTGCTTGCTTGGGGCTTACTTTGGGTAATCGGATCACCTGTTGTAGATGGAGTGTCTGCGATATCCGCGTGGGGACTAAGGGCAGTTAGCCTTCCAGTTAATAACGACAACTCCATGTACGAACCAGCCTTGTATCCTACAGTGCTAGGCACTAGTACCCTTCGCGTAGCTTCCTCTTTTTCTTCTCCAACAGAGAAACCATAGTCAGTACCGTTGTAGCTAAGGATAGGCTCCCCTTTCAACACTTTGTCGCTAGCTAGATCTTTCAATCCTGACAATGAAACAGAAGCAGGTGCTGTGATATGCCAAATTTGTTTGCCTTCTATGTTGTCAAAAATCTTCAGCGCTTGCGATGAGGGATTGGTGTGTGTTGGGACAGCGGTGAAGCCTTTGGGAGGGATGAATGGTTGCGCGGGCAGAAACTCGACAGTGTGTGATTGTGCAGCTCTTACTTGTCTAAGAACGAGATCAGTCTACTGAGTAAGGCAATGCTTACAGGGGACTATACTTCTCCGCGCTGCGTTGGTTTGCCTTGTTAATTTCTTCCTTGTCCGAGTCATCGCTCGAACTGTCCGAGCTGGTCCTACTCTCGTTTGAAGAGCCCTCAGACTTATCGCCCTTTCTTTGCCACTGCTCATAATCTACGCTCTGATTATTTGCATTATCGCTGTCGTCTGAGCTCGATGAGGGTGTGCCCTTCCTTTGATTCGCCCTCTTCTTTGCGGCAATGGAAATTGGAGTTGACTTCTGACTCTTCTTTGGCACACCATTCACTCCAGGCTTATGGACCCCTATTGTAACGGGTGTTTTCCCTTTCGACGGCTTCTTGCCCTGCTTTGCCTTCGGTATTGTTTCGGTTCCAGAGTCGTCGCTGCTGCCCACGAACTCTGTGCTCAATTGAAGTTTCGAAGGCGTTTGAGGCGATTTTGTCTTCTTCTTCGATACCACACCCGGCGGGGGCACCTCGGTACGTCTGATTTCCTTCATCGCGCTGGCTATGTCATCGTTGCTCTGGTCGCGAAAATGTTAAAGCTCAGCGAACATTTTCTAGGTGGAGGGTTCTGCCGGCTCCTACCGCACGCGCACGAGCCGTTTGCAGGGAACGAATGTGCTAGTCCCATCTGGGATACGCTAAAAGAACGAACCTCGAAGGTCTGCACGAACATTGGTTTTCTTGAGGCACTACATTCTCATTAAACTAGACACAATGCCCGGGAAACGAAAGAGAGTTGGCATCATAAGCTCTGATGCAATATCATCAGGTACGATTATGCCTTAAATTTCTTCATCCCTATCAAACCTAAATTTTCTGGTTAGGCTCTCAGCAAAGTGCACCAATTAGCGCCGCAGCAGCCGCGAGATCAAAGGCGCACATTCAAACCTGTGTTGATATTTCTCGAGATGAATCGCCAAATAGGTCCAACTCCACATCAATGGATGCTGCCAATGATGACTACGAGGATTCTGAACAAAATGCTTATATGAACATCGAGGATGCTCCTACCACGAACCGGCAGCTCTCCACTTGGAGATACTCCAAAGAAACAGTCCTGTCCGAATCTGAAGCTCAAGTTACAGTCATACTCGAGAAAGCATCGACTATCTCCCTAATAGGCTGTTTCTATCTCATGGTGCTGAAAGGTGCCATCAATGTCAATGGTGCTAATGTTTCTGCAAATCCACGTAAGCGGGAAAAGGGCACATCGTATCATGTCTTCGTCCCGTCAACACATCCAATTACCGCCATTCGAGGGCTAGACAGGTGTAATGAGATTCAATTTCAACATTGCCCCGCGACGGCTCCCTTTTCTAGCATCTGCCCGCTCTTCTCCAATATCTGGAATGCATCATCGAAGGGACCTGTCGACAGGTCATTTACTCTCGTAAGTATTAAGTCATAATATGTGGGATTTTAGCCTGGGAATTCCTATATCTTTATAAATGTAATGGGCTGGATCTGTCAACCTTCGGGGCCGACCCAAAGTACCAGTGTCCTTTTAGCTCTCTTGTGCTCTTGTGCTTTCCTTACCCTTGCCTCTGGCTATTCCGCCTTGACGACCCTGATATTTGCTTTGATATCTTACTTGTTCCTTATTTCACTTTTCCATATACTAACCTCTGCTCACAGATCCGCGAATCGAACGATGACCTTCTTAAGCGATCTATTTTCCCTGCAATCATTCCCGATGGCTGGACCAGCCGAATCGAGAACTGCACTGAACCCTCTGCAACGACCATGATCATCGGGCCATCCTCCTCTGGAAAATCCGCATTTGCTAAGCAACTCCTTAACAGATATCTCACCGGATTCGGCAAAAGAAGTCAGGCACTCTCTTCTGTTTTCTACCTGGATCTGGACCCCAGTAAACCCGAATTCACCCCTCACGGCCAGATATCGCTCGTCCATGTAAGAGAAGTTAATCTTGGCCCTTCGTTTACCCACCCGGCTCCCATTCCTGGATCAAGCTCGGATGCTATGAATGAGCTTGTACGTGCGCATCCACTCCCGATCAGAGGCTATTTGGGGGACCAAGAACATTTTCTCGCTTGTTTCGAGGATCTTTTCCAGACATATGTAAACCTTCGGCAACAGACTCCTTTCGCTCCTTTGGTGATCGACACACTCGGATTGGATTTAACATCGAACAAGGACCTTCTGCTTAAAATAATAGCACGCATCAGACTCCGATATCTAATCTACGTCGAAAGTCCCTTCTTCATAGCCGAAAATACCTCGAATGAATTCAAGGAGTTGAGCACTGTAGCAACTCAGAAGGGAACCACTCTCTTGTCTGTCGAACCCCTAAAGCTGCTCGACGCGCCAACACGCACAAACTCTGAGATAAGAAGCATGCAAATGCTCTCCTACTTCCACTGCAACGGCTTCACAAACTCATCATCTCCGCAACGCACTTACTCGTCCAAGCCTTGCTCTTTCATGAAACCCTGGGATTTTTGCTATGAAGAAACAGCCACTTCCCGCCAAGGCTTCATTGGCTTCCTCACGCTATGCGAATGGATCCCGCCTTCCGAACTCTTGACCGCACTAAACGGCTCCCTCATCCAGATCGTGGAGACTGAGGATCCAAACATCCAGAAAGCCTTCCACAATCTCCCTCGAACAGGTAAATTCCGCATTCCGTACTTCAACAAGAGCAAAAACGGTTCCGTCGAGCCACCCGACCCTAGGACGTCTCGATTAGTCTGTACAGCGCTGATCAGAGGCTTTGATCCTGAGAGAAGGGTAGCACAGGTCTTGGTTCCCAAGACCCATGAGGTGCTGATGTATGGGCTAAAGCCTGAGAAGACCATTTTCGTGTTCGGGTGCTGCGAGTTTCCAGAATGGGCGTATATGGAAGATGCGTACTACGATCTCTGGCAGCAAGGAGGGGAAAATGCTGAGAATGTTGATGTTGGGAAAATTGGCATAGATTTGCCACCGTGGGTGGCAACCGCACAGAAAATAGAAGCGCTGGGAAGTTTAAATACGGTGAGAAGAGTAAGGAAGTTTCACCAATGAAAACTCTCCCTAATGCTCCATCCTACTTCAGTCCACTCAGGATTCTAAACCCAAAATCTTAGAATATACGATACGGAGGCCCACATCTAGCCTAGCCAAGCCTACCCTAGCCTCCATCGATCATTTGTACAAATTATTCGTCCACCACCTCTGAAATCCTTAGCAAATCCCAAATCGTCATCTTTGCAAACGCCCCACTCCCATCCCCCTCCTTACATAACCCTCCACATATACTTCCCCAACAACCTTCCAACACCTTCCTTCCCTCCCCAAAGCCATCAGAACTGCACTCAACCACCATAGCCAGTACGTCACCCTCCCTCACAGAATCGGGCACTAACCCAACATACCCTTTGGGAGTGGTGACGAGTGTACTCTCGTTTAGCTAGATTACAGTGAGTTGGAGATGGTAGCGCAGTTTTAGGTTTAGTTGAGCGGCGGTGTGATCGGGGATTTGGGGGAAGAAGGATTGGAAGAGGTGGTCGTGGATGGAGAATGTAGACTTGGTGTGACATAATGTACGGAATTTAGAATAGAGCAGGCAGATTACGATCGGGTGCCAGGTGGTAGTCGCGGAATCGGAGATAGTCCCTGAGATGCTCAAGATGGAGGGGTGGTTGCAGAGCAGGGTTTGTTAGAGGACTTTGGGCAGTGGGGTGTTTGGCGCGTAAGTTACGGAGTGTGAAGGGTTGGTGATATGAATTGTGGTGGAAGATTGGTGCGGAGCTGAGGCATTGGGGATTTCGATATGGGGTGATAATAGAGTTGCAACGCTCTCAATCACGTCGATGATGTAGCCTCGGCAATTAATGTGTGGATCATGATTTAAACGGATAATTGGAATGTCGTCACTGGAACTATGCCCGCTTTGTAGCGCCGCAGATACTGGATATATTTCTACCGACTCGAGTCGCCCAGTCCGGGATCCATGACAGCCAGATATCTGATACAAAAGACGGCGTACAACACCGTAGGACATCTAAAGATTGGGTGATATGAGCGACTGCAGATGCCAGTCTTGAATAGACTGCCAACTTCAACAGACTGTACAGTAGTTATTGGGACTAGTGACGTCACGTCAAGATGCATCAGACCTAATTGCCAAAAAGAGTTGTCTCGAGGATCAGTGGCCTAGGGGTTGCTCGCGAAACGCATGAAGTGGTGGAACCCAGGGCCAAAACCGGACTCGGGGAGGGCTCAAGAAAGGCTCGATTAGGCATGCTTGTGCCCACATAGATCTCTCCAAGTCATCTAACACAGATCCGTTCCCATGCTGATGGAAGGTCTTCTCAATTGCCCCTGCATCTCGCTGGCAAGCTCTCATGGCACTGATGATTGGAGCACGTAGAAGTATACAAGTTCCAAAAGCAAACAGTGTTACATGGTGATTGACAGTCAGCTCTTGAATGATGCACAGTCGACCCCAGTATCACCGATTCATGAAACACGCAAAAAAATGCCACTGGGACTATACAAACTTCCTACCCACCTGTCCCGAGAGCGGAGTAGTACAGAGAAGAAATAATAGCAGTAGCATCCGCATCCGTCTCCTCTTCGTCGCCCAACCACATGATCAGCGTTTCCATCAGGAAGTAGTACGATTCGACTCAGGCTTTCTAGACAAGTTACGTCTCACTTATCATATACTTTTGTTTGCTTCACCCGACAGCAGGGGTCAATACGATTGAGTTACGGTTTGATTGAAGCTGCTCGTACTTCTCAACTTTTTACTAAAAGTTACGACGTAACTGTTGAAGCTTTTAGAGTAGCAGGGTCCCTCTTACTCTTAATATAGCACGCGAGGTTATTTAATTCACTAAAAACAACCTTATGACGTAGCCAGTTCTTCTAGAGTTGCAAAGCTTCAATTGTAGAGCCTAAGAGATGATTACAGTCACAAGTAACTGTCCTTTTCCCCCCGCTGAAGGCTCTGTGCCATCTCCCTATACAAGGGACTGTCATCTTTTGCTATAATAAGGTCGTCTAGGGTTGTTGTAGTACAGGGCAAGCTCTAAGGCTACACTGACACGTAAATAGTGGCACAAACACGCTCCCCCGGCCCTCACGCGCGTCAGAGACTGCAAGCTCAAAAAAGTCTACCTCAATCGTATACTGCTCACTTTTCAGCCTCATCAATCGAATTGTAACAGTTAAAAATGTAGTTACGTTTGTTTGCCTCACGTGATCGTAGGTGGAGCAAAAGTATCAATCGTACTACTTCCTGTTGGAAACGCTGCACATGATGACAGCACGTGCTTTTGTATACATGTCCTTTATAATTCTACCCTAGCTATTCTTTTCCCCGATATTGCTCTAGTCAATGCAGACTGTGTTAATCACTAGAATAGAATCAGCAGGTTAGTAAAATCCTCGGCACATTCGGTCAGATTGCATTCGCCTTGCTCAGGAACAGGATTTTTCTACTGTTTTAAAGAGTACAAAATTGATTTAAAAAAAAAATAATCACCGTTTCCTCAGGTAAATTAATAATGTAACCAGGCCAAGCCACTATCTACTAGTTCCTGTGCCTCTCTATGTACAGTACCATGGCTGCCTCTTAGGGCTCTGCATCAACACAACATTCTTCTGCTGCACCACCACCACCCAGGCTTACATATAATACATGTATAAGGTAGGAAAGAGACCTTGCAATTAGATTAAATTGGCCCTTGATCCCTAACGGGTTCTTCATTCCGGACAGGCTTCCTCATCTCTCAAACGGTCTTCCTCGTCTTAAACCGGCTTCCCATCCCAAGCTAGTCTTATGTCTTAACCTGGTACCACAACTCGCACGAGAAGACTGCTCATCATGCCACCCCACATTACATATCTAGCAAAGCAGGATTACTGTGGGCATGTGATTTGCCACGATCCAAGAGGGTACTGTACTTCTCCGTCGCGGTTTGAGCTCACAAGGGTGTGGCCGGAGTGGACCTCCCTCCCTCCATGCTAGCATCATCAAATCGTTCATCCGCTTCTAGCTATGCTTAAGTCACAAATCTTGAAATGTAAATGCTTATATGTACTATAACTATCTTGTCCCCTTATCCAGAGGGTGGTGAAAGCTTTGCTGTGGTAAAATAGTAATCCATAAGTTCGTGCTGATCCCCAGCCCCTTCTATGAAATAGATATAATAAAAAAAATATAGAATATAAGTTACAACTACCTCAACGCGCTATGCTTTACTTCGCATATCCATACCTTTCCAGACCCAGTACCAATGCCGATTCTATCGCCTGATACAATCGAACGCAACGGCCGATACTCTGAGGGTAGCCAAACTAGGTTCTCTGAATTATATGTTATCCAAGCTCCATCAGAGCTTAAAGCCAAGCCCCTATATATAGGATTTTGGGGAACCGAAATACTAGTCATCGTTATTGAAGCTAATGATGATGAATTAGATCCATTAATATCGACACGACCAATTTCAGTGCAAAGATATGAACCAGTGGCATCAAATGATATGTTAAAGAGCGCTTTGCCAATACTAAGGGTCTGCAGGCACTCGCCACTTCTCGCATCCCAAATCTTGACTGTGTTATCGTG